TTTGTAGCTTTTTCTCTCCAGCCTCCCAGCACATTGGGACCCCACAACCCCTTAGTGTCCTCTCCCCAACCATCAGCACAGGCAGCACGAATCTCAGTGCAGACCTCTCTGGAGCTCCATGTGCTCCTCCACTGCAGCCTGTACTGTCAGGGGAAGAATGGCTTCCAGGGGGTCTCCCCAGGTATTATGCACGGTTCTCCTGGTTTCCAGCTTCCGAATGGCTCTCGTGACCCCGGTCAACTACACCTCTGAGTCTTCGGGAGTAGTCTGTATTCTCATGTTCTCCAAGTCCTTGTTCACCGGCTGCTCCTCTGCTGACTCTGGACCTTTCTGGTTTCAACGGCAGGGGCAAGAGCGACCCGTTGTGTGGCATGTATTCCCAGGGGTTTCTCTATGTTGGGATGATTCACGAATGTTCCCAGGTGGGCCTTCGTGGCCAGCACGTGGCAGGCCAATTGTGTCATTGCTTCTCTGTGCCATGATAGTTCTGGACCATGCGGCAGTGGTTGGCCTAAGGGACAGCACGTGCCAGCGCACACCGCAGCACAGCTTCCCAGACGCCAGCTGCCTGCCTCCTGGGCACCTGTGCAGCTGGGGTTCCGCCCAAAGGCCAGAGCTCCCCACCATGCAGCTTCCTGGGCGCCAGCTGCCTGCCTCCCTCCCATGTCATTTATGATGGCAGAAACACAAATTAAAGTAAGAGGACCACTTTCATCTTTCAGATGGGCAGGGAATAAAGGCTGAGGGCACAGGGTCAGGGAAGCTGAGAGGGGCCAGGGGCACCACCCACCCATGGGGAGGTGGATTTATGGTGGCCCTTCTCGCTGACAGGATGCTCCCTGTGGTCACACATTGCTAGGATGTGAACTGGTCTCAGAAATTCATGCGGTGAAATCTGGCTGCCATCATGACAGTATGAAGAGGGTGGCAACTCTGACCCCAAATCGTGCATTGGTGGCATCTGGAGGGGAGCATGTGGGAAGTTATTAGGGTTGGATGAACTCATGAGGATGGTGCTTGCTGGTGGCTTTGCAGGAAAAGGAAGAGACACCTAAGCTGCCAGGCTTGCTCTGTCTCGCCCTGTGATGCCTTCACCACACTGTGATGCAGGAAGAATGCCCTCACTGGATGCCAGCACCATGATATCAGACATGCCTGCTCTGGAACGCTGAGGCACACACTTCTATTCCTTACAAATTCCCTGATCCGTGGTATTCAGTTAATGCTACAGAAAACAGACTAAGACCTTGCCCTGGATATGTGCTCAAAGGATGCTTCCTGCATCACTTCTAGGGAAGCAGGAGAAACTGAATATATGGTCTGTCTTTAAGTCCAAATCTTGGCATCTATCACAAAGTACAAGGTCTCCTGTATGGAAATGGAGCTGCAGAAGGCAAGGTGAGCTGTGAACAGCTGGCCAGGGTGGGACAACGGTGCCGAGTGTGTAAATGGCAGGCATCTTGGGTGGGGGAGCCACAGAAGAGGTAGGTTCACACCATGGAGTAGGCTGGGGTCAGAAGACAATGTGATCACTACCTCCACAAGCTTCTGTGCTGCCCAAGTTTCACCCTGCAGACACCGCCAACAGTCCCCTGCTTAGAAGCTCCACTCTCTCTGGGGAACCTCAACTCCCCGTTCAAGGTAACATACACACACACACACACACACACACACACACACAATCAACTCATAGCTGGTCATACACTTCCCTTCTGAGTCCAATGTGAAACATACCCCACATGCATACACATACACACCTGTACATGTAGATATGTATATATATATATACACACACACACGAACAGAACCACACACATATTCATACACACCCGTATACACCCATCTAGACACACATCCATGCACATACCTCTACACAAACATGTGCCCATACATGTACACATATGGCACACTTAGACATACATGCATGCAAACACACGGATGTCTATAAACACAGGCGCACACACATTCTCTGAGCATTCCTTTTCTCATTCCCACAGCCTCCAACCTCTTCTCCACCAACTGTCAGCCTCTAGTCAGACTGCCACACAAATAACCTGCACCAGAAGCCAAAAGGTAAAGGAAAACCAGATTTCTGGGCACCCCAGAAGGAGCCCCGGTCCCACACAGCTGCAAGGCAGGCCCAGGAACATGCATTTCTCACAGGTTCCAGGTGATGCTGCCAAGGGCCAGGGGCTACCCACTGTTACCGGGAGTGGCACATGGTGATGGGGGCAGCTTCATGGAACTGTAGAGTAGAAGAGCTCACTCAGTGTCTGTGAGTACCTCTTGCTCCTGCAGGTACCACATCTCAAAGTACCCGAGCCCCCAGAACACGAGAAAACCACAGCAGAAGGTTCAGGGAGAGAGACTGACGAGAACTGAGAAGGCGCCACAGGTACAGGATGGAGGCAGGAAGCTGGCTACACTCAGTGACCCCAGGATCCCCGTCCTCCTGCAGGGATGAGCTCACCCTGGGAGGTCCCATGCCTCTCTCCTGCAACCCATCCCTGTTCCTCTCCGATGCCCCGCAGCCCCAGGTGCCTGGCACTTGCCTCCATCCCTGCTCAGCTTGGCACAGCCCCACAGGAGCAGGGACTGAGTCAGAGCCCACCTGCTGAATAGGAGTTTGGCCAGCAGGTCAACCCTGGGACACACACTCTGTGTACAAGGTTGTGACAACCGTGACAGCACTGATCTTACCCAAGTGTTGCCCTCCTGGAAAACACGTCAGGTAAGAGAGCCCACCAATGCCAGGTGCTTGAGCAAAGATTCACGGCATCATGCCAGTGCTTCAGTTGCCACTCTGCACTCCCAGGTGGACAGTCGCACTGCCCGTCTCTACCCATCAGCCCCTACAAACCACTCATAGCAAACTCTGGGT